CGAGCCGCCGAGGCAGCGGACTGGGTTGAGGGGCGCTTGGGCTACTTTCTGGCGCTCTTGCGCGGAAGCCTCGCCACGTCCGGGTGGGGTCGGAGGGAGAGACCCTGCCTTCCCCAGCGCGTCCTTCCACAAGCGCCCCTGCGCCGAGGCTCGGGCTGGAAAGGGTAGGCTCCGCGCGTCTTTTCGCTGGGAGCCCGCCTGACGTCCCTACGGGAGGTCCTCTCTGGACTGATCCCGCGGGTGACTGCGCGTGGCATCCCGGTGCAGAGCCGGGTCCAGCCAGCGGCCCCGACTCCTCCGTGTCGCCCAGGACCGTCCTAACCGAGCGAGGACAGCGAGGGCGCCAGCTCTGTGGCCCCAGAGCAAAAGCAGGGTCCGTTCTTGACCGACTTCTGAGACCCTAATCCTGCCCCACATCGGAGACGAGAAGATTGGCGGGGAGTGGGAGGGAGCCGCCCGGAGCCCCCGCTGCGCCGGGGCGCTAGGCTTGGGCCTCGGTGCCCTTGGGCCGCCCGGCCTGCGGGCCTGAGCGCCGTTTCTATTTGCAGCTGGGCCGGTGCTCCCTCCCAGTCCACGGCGGCTTTCCCACCTCCCCCAGCTGCCGGGGAGATTTTTCCGATGGAAGCCTGCCCTTCCCCGCCCTACTTTAATAAAAGCTTGGAGGAAGGGCTGGGAATTCCTCCCGGGCTCGAGTTACACCTCCAAGCCAGTTCCCCACCTGCTCTGCCCTCCCTCCCTGGCCAGGCCAGGGAAAGCTGCAGGGAGCCAGGCCAGGCAGTGGGGCTGGAGGCCGCGTGGGAGCCCAGCCCAGGCCCAGTGCGGCAGCCCCCTCCCCGCCTTCACACAAGCAGGCAAGGGCTTCCAGGGGGCTCCTGCTGGTGGGGATCACCCCCCAGCCTGTGTCGCAGGGACTGGGCAGAGGGCGCTCTTTGTGCCCACCTGCCACTCCGGTGTACCAAAGAATTTCAGTCACCCTTGAGGAGTTTACAGTCTACTTAGGTATGGTGTCTCCACACAGTAAGCAGTTACAGACCAAACGGGAATTTGGTGGCCATATTTTGTGAATTGGCATCCTAGAAGGCTGAGAGGTGGGACCTGTGGTTGGAGGGGCTTCACTCTCTCTTTCCTTTGCTTCTGCAGTGCCTTTGTGACAACATCCCCCCCAGCTGAGGGAGTACCCACAGCTCAGTGCCTCCAGGGAAGAGATCCCTGGAGGCACTGAGGTCACAGGCCATGACCCTAGGCCTGTGGGGCACTAGCTAGGGACTTATAACTGGCCTGCAGCCCCACTCCTGGGGGAACACTTGGGTTGGGCCTGGGTTGTGGCTGGATATGCAGGGAGCCCTGAATATTGGAAGGCACCCTGGGCAGAGGGCTAAAGATAGGTGGACTCTCACCGCTTCTGGAGTTAACTTTGGGGCTCAGGCTGCTCCTGGAATCCCATGTGGGCTGGTAAGATTTTGGCCCAGCAGCTATGGACAGCCC